TTGCTAGCACTCGAGCCATTTCAAAATGCCTCCGTCTCCTATAAAAAGTAAATTATGCAGAGGTTTTATTTTACTTTTTGTCCAGTAACAATTATTGTTGCTGTTATTGCTATCACATGATCGTCAGTTTTAGCTCAAAAGATGTACGTCGGTTTGCTTAATGGATGCTGTTACAGGGCTGTTTGAATTATTTGACAAAAACGATGAAAGAACAGTTACTGCTAATTTGCGGCACTGGATTCGCGCTTGCACTTGTACAGGTATCATTAAATTATTAGTTAACTGGTTGCTTTTTGAAGGTGTAAATGGTGGGTTTATAGCAGCCGTTCTAACGAGCAACAACACAGGAACGAACTAGAACTGACGCACTCCTTTTCTAGCTTTTATCAAAACCATTTGCTGTAAATATGTATTTGTCATTAATGAAGTTGTCGTGTATTTTTGATTGTTAACCAGATGAATAAGGAAGTGATTGGCGCTGTAGTTTTATAAAAGTGATAAATACATACGAGCACTGGACTGACAAAATCGAAAATGATACTCACACACTCACTTTTTTATCGCACTTCTGTTATTCATTTTATGTGAGTTGTTATGTTTTACGCTATTTTCAGTTATTTGGAATAGCATTTAGTGTTTGCTTATACACCAAATGGCGTGAATTCTCGGAATTGCGACCTGTTCATAGCAAAAACAGTCAGAGGAAAGACGACTCCGCTGCGCATTTCTTGTAAACTTTTTTGTATTTCATGACTGTCTTATATTGTGTATATGGTTTTGCAATTCAACTTGCATTTCTGTGTTTTTTCTCTGCTGTTTATCAGTTTTTTCTGCACATCTTGATACCATTTTGATTTTAAACCACGCTTGCATTTTGTTGAATTTAAACTTTATTGAAATTTGCATGCTAATATATTTAAACAATAGTGTTCAAACTTATTCGATTTTTGCGTCTCTGTGCTCTACTAGGTCTATTTTTTACGTAATATGAAAGCTAGTGCGCATGGAGGTCATTCCTCAATGTCACTGTGTTAACTTATTTATTATGCGCCCTAAAAAACGTTTGTTAAGAATACCATATGTTTATTATGCCTGTATGGAAATGCAACCCAGGCTAGAACGCACCAGGTTTGCCAGTGCGATCATGCGCTTTCGCACTAAATTCGCAGACAGCTAATAGCAGCAATGACCTCATATTGGCCGTGCTTTGGCTCTTCCTATGTGCAGGAGGAAGGGCGTCGATTGGGATGAAAGTATTGCATAGGGCCGCATGAATCTCCAGGTGAATGATTACCAGCTTTTTGCGTGAAGCCCGGCCGTTTTTTCGATAAATGCTCGCTTTTTGAAGAAATGCAAATTTCTCCAAGTAGAAGTGTTGCTAAAGCGGTCGTTCGAGCGCTGCTATGACGCTGCGCAGCAAAAACGCATATTTTGATAACCCATGGTGTGCATACATGCGTATGTTTGTGTGTGTGTCTGTGTCTGTCCGAGTGCTTCAACTCGAAAACCAAACAGGTTTCGGCGATGAAATTTTGCCAGAGGGTTCCCCAAATATTTGTTCCTAGGACCGCGGGGCAGACCTTTACACACGACTGGGTCTCGCGTAAGGCACCTGAGAGTTTTGGCGGGAAAACTGATAACTCGAGGATTAGAAAAGCTGATAAGCTGAAACTTTAAAGAGGTGTTCCTTACCCAGTGTGGCGTAATTTGGCGCCTTTTTTGAGTAAAAATATGGGTATGCGTGCTGGAGAACTGCAAGATACGTACTCGATTTCGTGAAAACTTGGTACAAGTGATCTGTTTGTGTATGTATGTGTTTGTGTGGTGGATCTATGGGAACCAAGTCAAATAACAGGAAATACTTTACTGAAAAGAAATTGCACGGCCACAAAAATGCCCAAATAGGCTATCAAATAAGTCGCAATCAACGAAACAATTCTCGCAAGAAGTTTTGACTTAAGAGTTTAATTTTACAAAGGCTGCCCCTGTTGGGCCGTGCAAAGTTGAGCAGATAATGTGGACAAATTAATACTGGAATCAAGAAAAACGGAGAGTCGGACGGAATCACTGCACGTGGAGAGTTGGACGGACGCGCGACGTCGACAGCCGGATCCCGACTGCCGTCGTGGGTTACTTTTATACACCTGCAAAGGAATTTCCATTAACATCCAGGACAGTTTTTCTCATTCTCCGATATGGGAATGGAATGTTTCTTATGTTTATAGTTAAGCTAGTTTTTCTACCTCCCGATCTGGGAACATAGTCCTAGATCTACGGGAAGATATTTCCCGACGGAGTTTTTGCGTTATGTTTTGACTTCGGTCACTACATGACGCCGAAGCATTCGCTTACAGTGCTTCGCCTAAAAAGACCCTGATAGGATCTTTTAAATAATTTTTATAATATTATTCTTTTCACATATGTATTTTTTGTTTTGTAATTAACTTCCAAATATTTTGTGTTTTGCCCTCCTTGTCCTTTACACTTGTTGTCAGGCAGGAAGAAGTGCAAAGGCGGGAAAAAATAGATGATTTGTTTGGTATATTTGCGTGTAGTAATACAGTAACAATTTAAGTTGCCCGGTTGGGCAGGAGGAAGAACAGGCGATTAGTTCAAGACTAGACTTGATCGGGAACGGAGTATGTAATCGTGAAGGGGCAGCCGTGGAGCAGTCGAGATGGTGTGATGAAGGCCAAGGGCCGGAGACGATGTCACGGAGAAAGCCGATGAGCGGTCGAGCTCTGGAATATGAAGGCCGACGGCCGAGACGATGTCGTGAAGAGGAAGCTGATGAGCGGCCGAGTACTGGAATGTGAAGAACAAGAATAAACAGGAGGCAAAATACCGGGGCTTTTATAAAGTCCCAGAAACACCTTATCGCCTTTCGGTGATCAGGCGTCAGGAATGTAAAAGGTATTAAAAGCATCCTGAGAAAAAATGAGACTTCGGGGAATATCGCCGGTATTACAGTCGGCGATAAAAAGGATAGATAATATTTTACATAAAAAATGC